CTTTAATGGATGGACCAAGTACAGGAGATTGTTTGGGTTGTCTATAATCAAATTTCCAATATCTATGTTTTAATGGTGGTGGGATCAGTATTTGGTTGTTGATTGATAAATTTCCCATTCATCATAATTAATTAGCTGTTTGTGATCTCATCTTACTCTCATTAAAACAAAATACACCAATCTGACTTCTCACAATGAGGAAGTTGGGAAATTAAATGAGATATTAGCTTGGAGACATTTATGAAAGGGAAACAGCTAAAGCTTGTACATGGTATTTATTAATTGAAAAGCATCATCGCTTAACAAACATGAATCAGGAAGATTTTAATAACAAGAGGTCCCCGGGGGGTTATCTAACATTTAAAGAAGAAAAGCTTGTTGAGCACCGCTTCTATAATTTAGATAATGTCCTTTAATGCCGTTAAAAGTTAGATTTACATGTGAAGTTTTAAATCCCTTATCTGTGATCCACTTGCTTTAATAAGTTTCTGTTATTAATGAATTTGTGCTTGCAGAGTTGTTAGCGCAAGTACTTTATGTAACAAGTATCTTACAGCCTGCAGGTTGGTGATCTGTGTGCTGCAGTGACATCTTTTAGCCAGCTGATGGCTGGACGTTGAAGGGTTGAAGCTCATTGCAAGATCAAGGATGTGCTGATTGGCATCTTGTACACAACCGATATTTCATTCTTTTGGGGCAAAATCTACAGTTCCATGATGTAAAAAATATGAAATATTAATGATAAAATAATACGCCACAGTTGTCATTTTCAATTTCGTTGAAGTTTTTACGGTAAATATATCACCATCTGACTTCTTTAACTTGACTGGTTGAAATATTGGCTTAATGTGTCAATAGATTTTTTGTACTTGTACATTTTTTTTTTCTTAAACTAGTTAATAAAGTGTAACAGTTACAAATTTAACAATTATATTCTCATTTGCATGAGAAACAACGGATATTGTTTTATTTATGGCCATTTTCTTTAATATTTTAGTGGGTGTTCTATAGAGTGGATAAAAAAATTGGTGGGTGTGGACTGGTTTACCACACCACACCACTATGGTAGGTACCAATCTACATCATATCATATTTCACAAGTATTCTGCACTGTAGACAGATTGTGTGGATTGAACTAATCTACATTCACAATGGCGTTTTATAGATGTAGTGTTGTCCACACCACATTTTTTGATTCCATGTATCTCATATATAGATTATAAAGTAATTTATATAATGGATCATAAATGTCTAATTTTTACAATTTACTTGACACGTGTTTATTTAAAATATTTAATTATAACAAAGTCTAAATAACATTATAATTATAATTTATTATAATTTAATATATAATAATTAGTTGTAACATAAATTATTTATAAATTTATAAATAATTGTAGTTATTGGTAATTAGTACATATTTTCACAAAGTACTTTAATGTCAATAATAAATTCTATAAATTGTTAATATTTTTTATTATGAATTTATCATTGGTTAAGTATAAGAAATAGTAGCAATAATTACCATTAATTTTCTACTATTTCTATTAGTATATGGCATTTTTTCATAAATTTTTGGTAATTTTCTGCTATTTCTACGAACTTTTGGATATTATCATATTTTATGGAAATATTAGCAATTTATTTTTTTGTTAATTTCTGTTTAATTCTATTAGTTTATGACAATTTCTCATATATTATTAGTTAATTTCTGTTTATTTCTACTAATGTGTGATGTATCTTATCAATGAGTGGGAGAGATAAATTGTCAAAATAATGGGGACTGAACTCAGCCGTGAAATAAATGAGTGAATGAGATTTTGGGTCGTGGACAGAGCCATTCCACAAACCAGTCCCGTCCATGGAAAACCAAATGTTCTGGCTATCCTGTGGCGTGGACTAAAATAGGCCATCCCCGAGATGATGACAGTAGCGAACACTACCTTAATCTACTACACAATTCTCTACAAATCATGGATCTTTTTTTTTTTTTTTTCATCTCAACAAGGAAGAAAAAAATTAGACTTGTGCAAAAAAATAAAATAAACAAAAATAGGCTTTATCGGTGAGTTATAAAGGGAGGGCCATTAGATTAAAGTTGATCAATGAGAACAGGGCGACGCCTCACGGTTAAAAGTGTTACTATTGTTTCATCTTACCAATGTATATCAGTCTACCAGGCCATGATTTCGGAATAACTATGATACATGTTTCTTCTTATATTTAATTGCTAATGAGTTTGTGGCCGTTTGGAACTCATGTAGTGGGGCTTTTGGCTTCACAAGGTAGGCCTTAGTCTCACATGGACGGTTTATAGATTATGTTTGGCGAAAACTTAAAAAAAAACCCCAAGTTTGCTATCATTCAGCCAAAAAACTGGCTTTTCAGTGATGCTTATTTTAGTAATTATTCAACAAAGCTGAAATTGTATTCAGTACTCACAAAATAATGCTCATACTGTATTCACAGTCACCTGCAGCTGTAAGGATAGTGATGCGATGCAATCCGGCTGTTCCTAGTTGGAGATGATTTGGCTTCCAGTAGACGATAGAGTTGGCTAATCTGCACAAGGAGAATCAGAGAATTCGGGGGTATTTACCCGACGAGGTCGCTCCGATGCTTAAGTCAGTAATTTGCGAGCTGATGGTAGCTTAGAAAGCAAGAGAGCTAGTGAGTAGAGATTACGTGTACCTTTGCCCCTAGAGGGTTGGGGTCTTTATATACTGAAGTCCTTGCGGGTTTTTCGGAGTGGTTTTGGGATTATTGCGATGATGAGGCCCGTTTCCGTATTGACAGGAGATAACACCGATAAGGCTTATCTCCCCCGCCTGATTCGGACGGGGGAGATAAGGCTAGCTGTTACGAGGTGTGATCCCGTAAAGCGTGGAATCGGTCAATATTACACGAGCTAGTGCCCTTTAGATCCGACTTGGTTCGAATGACGAAGTGCCTTGGAACCGAGGTGGTCCTGATGCGATCATATCCCGAGGTGAACTTATCCCGAGGTGGACTTACCCCGAGATGAATTTGCCCCGAAATGATTCGGTTATTCGAGCTCGGTCTGTCGCAAATTTAATATGTCAAAATGAGCTATCATCCTGTCAGTTAGGTCGTGTCCACGTGTCCCTCTGTTATTAGGTCAGGCCAACCATTATATAAGGAATGAATCTGAGTTAAACAAAGTTCATTGAAAACAGCTCAATAGCTTCAGCCTAATAAACACGTAGTTCTTCATTAATGGGGATGCGCATCCATGTAAAATTTTCCACTTACAAAATGTGCAATTGTTTCATTCGCGGCGGGGACGTTGGAAGGTCCCCTAGCTTGATATGTATGGGAGTGGGACTAATAGATGGAAATAGAACAAAAAAACATCGATAACCATTATATTGTATTGAATTCAATATTGGCTATCTGGCCAAATGAAATCTATTCAAATCACCTCCTTTCCGGTTTGAAAATTTGAGGGGGAGCTCCTCATGGCTTGGGCAAATTAATCTAGTTCTATCATTTTTTTTGTCAGAAAAAGAATATAAAAGGTTGATCTTAAAAAAAAAAAATTGAAGAAGGGAAAAGGAAAGAGACCGAAAATGGAAATTAGCGTCTCATGCGAGTGAGTCTACTTATATGTATTATGTTTTAGATATAGCCAATTCTATGTCATAAAAGCTAAATTCAATATATAATATCAAGTTATGTTTTTATCATTTTCTTTGGCAAATGCATAGATGTAGGGGTGTCAATTAGACTGGATTTGGTCTAATCCGATCCAGTCCAATGCGAGTCCATTATAAATGGACCAGGTCCAATTTAATCCAATGAATGTTTTGGATCAATTTGGACTGGTCCAATTTAATGTCTGGACTGTCCAATCTGTTCAAATTCATTTTGATTTAGATTGGTTTCAACCCAAACCCGGTTCATTGACACATATATTCTTATCTTATATCAATAGACCAGATATTGGCTTAATCCAACCCAATCCAATATAAATTTGTTACGGACGGACCAGTCCAATCCAATCTAATAAATATTTTGGACCAGATTGGTCCAATCCAATATGTCTTGTTGATCTGTCCAATCTATCCAAATTAATTCTGGATTGGATGGGGTCCAATCCAAAACTGGTCCATTCACACCCTTACATACAGGCCAGAGCTAAGTATATTGGTGGTGGTGGGAGTGGGNGGGGGGGTTCCTTGGCCCCTCCAATGTTTTGTTAAAACCACTATTTTTTAAATGTTAAGGATCATTCTGTAATACTCCTTCAATTCCTAAAATTTAAAATATTTTAACTCGCCCCCCCCAAAAAAAATTATTGGCTCCACCACAACATACCTAACACATGCCCTTACACTTAGGGGCCATTTGGCAAAATCTTCTGGTAGCTTTAACGGTTAAGAAAATTTTGCATTAAGATCTGAGCATCCTAAAGCCCGTTTGGTTAAGGCGTGCCTTTCCGAGTGTAGACGAATAAAAAAAAATGCATAAACTCCATTTGGAGCTTCCCAAAAATCATTCATTTTGGTCTTATCATGTCTTTTCAGTGCATCAGCTTTTGGCAGCTAGATCTACCGTGAACCAAACAGAAATAGACCAAATCACGATCTGCCGAGCTTGTAAATAGCCAATAGACCGTGCGGAAAAACACCCCAAACAGGGCCTTAGTAAATAACCTTACATAAAGATCTATACATTGCCAAAACTTAGAAGATCTATTAATGAATGTTTTTGTTTTTTTTTCAAAAATTGTCTTTGACTTGTCCAAAAGGAATGTCACGTAGCTTTCCTTCTATTCCACGACAAACGTAATGCCATTTGTAAAAACGACTAAAATTTGGTCTAAAATCCAGGTATGAAATTAATGAATCAGCATTACACCATATATTTTCACTTCTGCTAATTGATTTTACATTACTTCAAGCAACCGCTTGA